TGGGATGATACTCAAGAGAATTTTGATCCTTTGTTTTGCAAGTGTTAATGTAAGGCAAGCATAATTGTAAGAAAAAATATACTTCCTGTTTAAAAGTAAGGGTCTGTTTACAGGGATCAAGGTGGGAGACCCCAGGTAAGTGAGGTAACCCTCTTAGGTGGGATAACCTTCCTATTCATATTAATATAGTCTCTCATATCATCACCCCACTTATCATGTTAAAGTGATTGAATCAAAATGAGAGATTATATGTACAGTAGGGTTACCCCTCCTCGGCAGGTTACCTAACCTACCTGGGGTCCCCCACCTCCTTGGAAGCAGGCCCTAAGATACCACCCTCTATAAACAAGATGCAATTTGCCTTGCATGCTACCTGATTCCTAGGGTGTGTTCGATTGACCATAAATATGAAAGGAATAAACTCTATAAATCACTCATTTGGGCATTCATTGCTTTAATTTGCAATAGCTAGAAATCTGCTTGAAATAAAGGATCCCAATGTATGTTAGCATTTAAGTGGCCCAAAAATCACGAAATAAGAGGTTTGCAACAAAACTTTTGTGTAAACTTACTCCAGAATACGCTCAATCAAATGCACCCTATAACAGGGGATGTGATAATTGTTCATTCATAGCATGCAAAGCCCTAAAAACTGTTTAATATTATGGCTTAAGTTCCTGTACAATTATTTAAATTATTGTGAAGCTTTACAAAGTAATGCTGATGTGTGTACAATTCTGAAACGGAAGAGCTAGAGCAATAAATGACCCTTGAGTATCATCCCATGATATACATGTACATTTACACTGAAGTAACAAAACTTACATTGAGTTTACAGTAAAAGGTGTACAGCTGTACTTTTTTGTTGTTGTTGTTGTTTATTTGTTTTAGAACTATCATGGCACATGTACTCTTTATACATTGTACTTTACAACACAATAAGAACATTGCAGTTCCTTAAAATTTACATGTCAAAGAAATGCTGGTTTCTCTATTCAATCAAAATTAAAAACTTACACAAGCCATCTTTGGAAAATGCCAAAGCTCTACAAGCCTTTTTGTGATGGTGAAGATCCAAAAGCAAATGATTCTCTTCAGAAACAGAGTATGAGTAGCTGTAGAAAAAAAGAATTGTTTTATAATAGTTTTAAACGTGCACATATTAACTTTTTTTGGTTGGTAAATAATTAAAGTTGTCAACTGTGGGCACCTTTGTACATTCAATTTCTTGGGCTTCCTAAAAATTTTCTAGGAGCACAGCCTTGAAGTACATGTATCAAGAAAATGAAACTTTTTAAAAACTTTCTACTTTTCAAATCAGGGGTTACATCCTCTGATTTAAAAGCCATTCAAAGGCTATCAGTAAATGGGCTTGTTATATTCCTAGACTTTCACTCAACTAAACAGGGACTGCCATTGGTTGATTCTTGGTCACGTGGCCTTGACTAAAATCAAATGTATCCCGATCGTGATACATTAAACAATGTATCCCGCTCGGGATACATTGCAGCACGTGATCAAAGCATGGTGGAAAGTGGTGTGACAGAAGGCGGGAAAAACACCGCCAGGTCCAGCCAGTTTTCTTTTTCGTGAATGAACACAACAACACAAAAACGAAGCCTCAAGCTAAAAAGCAATGATTTTTAAAGTTATCCCAGAAGTTCCCAGAAGAAAAACAGCAGCTAGTGGAGGAAAAAGATGCAGATAATATGAGGAAAGTACTTTTGTTTGTAAATCATTCATTCAGTGGTTTTGAGAATTAAATTTGTGTTGTTATA